TGTCCCGCCCCTGCCGCTAGAACAGCGGCAAACCACACCTTCCAGAACCGGCACGGTCTCACCAGCGGTTGCGGTTGGAATCACTGGTATAACCAACCCCCGGCGCGCATGCGTGCCCACATGCACAGGAGCCTGAGGGGATAGGGAAATGGAAGGAGGGAGTCTGCAGTGTGACTGGCCCTATTAGGGGGATATTCATTCTCTCTCTCTCTCTCTCTCTCATGCACTCACACGTGACCTCTGGTGTTAAAGATTAAAAAAAAGAAGACTCCCTGTTTCAATTTCTGTAAAGGTAAATAGAAATTAATACAACCCACATAAACCAAAGCACTTTAAAATCCCCATTAATTTGTGTGTGTATGCTAAAGAGTATGTGCTCTAGGTAGAGGGAGACAGGGAGAGGAGAAAGCACACCCTATGGGGTATGGTCACTCTGACATCCCTTTTTCTCCATTGTCCCTCCTGCCAAGACTAACCCACCCACACCCACGCCATGAGGGATCCAGTTGCCTTAACCACCAGGCCAGGCCGAGATGCCAATCATTTTTAAGAGTATAAAGAAGCCCTGAGACCAAAAGGCTTGAGTACTACCAAGATAAGTGACAACACACACTTACACAAACCCCAATCTCTTCATACCTCTGCTCTGGAAGACTATTACTGGTATTTATATTACAGAAGTTTCTAACAGTTCAAACTCTCTAATGACCAGTTAAGAAATCAATGCGGTGGGGGTAAAATAAGAAAGAAATTAAAGGCAAAGAAATTAAAAACTTCCTTTTTAGTGAGCAGAATGTCATTCTGATTTAAAGGCAAAATTCTAAGTGATTAAACAGAAGATATTTCAAAATTAACTAACTTCCATGTTTATGCCATAAGCAATAATTTATTGCTTTCACATCTCTCCCATAGCTGCTTGAAAATTCACACAAAACTACAAGCTATTCAGTACAAAAGACAGATTCTGAGAGGTTGGTATAATATACTTATCCTCAATGAAAAATTTAAATGATTTCTTACTACCTTCATCCTCAAACTGTTCTACCAAAATTGATGCCTATGCAGAAAATGCCATACTTGCATATTAAAAAGGAGAATGCGAGGCTTACTATAGATAAAAATAGAATTAATTTTGGTGTGATAACATGTCTCACAATTTCTGCAACCTTTACAATAAAAATTTTAAATTCAACAATCACAAAGCGGCCAAGTTCGCAACTGACCAATCTAAAGAGAAAAAAAATAACTGAAAACAGACTACCTTGTTTAGCTCTATTAACAGTCATTTTACCCTCAGATACACCATTCGAATTGAGAAATTCAAGTTTAACATGGGATAGAAGGCTACATGACTTTTTGTTTAGTACTAGGAATTCTTTGTTATCAAAATATTTTTGTAACTCAGTACAAAATTGCAAATAACCATTTAACTAAGCTATTAGAAGGCTCTGGCCCCTCTAGCCTCTGGGTTGGCACCCATGATCCAAATTACTTCACTTTTCAGGTATTCTTAGCATTTAGTCATCCTAAAATACAAGAAACCTGCAAGAAAAAAAAAAAAGCCACTTCATTTCAAACAATGCTATTTTTTTTTTAATCAGAAAACTTTAATTTAATGCTCTTCTGCTTATTCCTCACTACAAGTAGAAGTCCAAGAGTGATGTCATGGAAAACAGTTTCCCTAGCCTTTAGAGACTAGATCCAGTGAGAATTCTAGGAAAAGCCTCTACTGGGGAATAAAACCCCAAATCTTCTAAGTTATAATCTAACACAAAATCACAGATACTTTAATGTTAGCATTTCAGTTCTCTATAAGAATTACACAACTCAACTAAATCTTTTGGAATGTCTTGATGTCATGATACAGATTTCTTGCAAATCTTTTAAAGTCCATGATGCAGAATCATTAACTAAATTCAAAGACCTCAGCAGATACAAAGGAAAATTTCCTACCCATTCTGATTTACTTCAGTAGTTTGGTCAGCTTTAAGGATCTTATGGGCAAAACAAAAAACCCGAGAACATATTTTCCCTTTTCTAGGTTCTTAATTCCAAAGCCGAAACAGTTTATTCTGAAAAAGTCTTCCACTTTTGGACCAGCAGCAATACAGCATACACCCATGGCAGAAAAGAAGTGTGGGAGCCCTCCCAATGATTCCTGAAATGCCAATAATGATCATTTCCCATTACTCTCCCCCTTCGTGCTGCAGTTCCTTGAAAAGTCAGCCACATTCCACTGAAAGGCCTCTCCACTGCTGTTCCCTATGCCTGGATCACTCACTCTATCCCCAGATACACATGGCTCCCTTATCTCCAGCTTGAAGTCGATGAGGCCTTCCCCAAATGCCTTCAAAAATTGCAAAACCCCACTAGCCACCAACCAAATGATCCCTATCTTTATTCTCCGTAGCATCATAAATAGTGATACAAGCTATCTTTCTCGGTAGTAAGTGGTCGTATAGGCTATTTTACTTATTTTTCTCATTTTTTTATGCCTGAGGGTAAATGGAAGGGGGGTTAGGGGAGCACCACCAAACAAGGCCAAGACACACAGCAATCCTTTCCCACAGATGTGATACGCCATCTTGTGGGGTTCAGGGTGGCGCCGTTTTCAAATTCAAACCGTTTGCCATGTGGGATCTGCCTTCCTCCACTGAGCAACACTGTGCGGCTTTACGGGCCAGCTCGTACTTTACTAATTTTTCTCTATAGTACATTAAATGGTGATAAAGGCTAGCTATTTCTCCTTTTCTAAATTTTACGCCTGAGGGACTTGCACACACAAGCTGGGGAAGCGGAGGGGGGAGGGAATGCACGCTACAATTCTCCTTCCGGTCAGGATCGTGGGTCCACCTGGCGCCTTTTTCAAATCCAAACCGTCGCCATGCCATATGGGATCTGGCTTCCCTCTGTGCTGTGCTACTTTTTACTTATTTTTCTCCTGGTAAATTAAACAACAATACGGGCTATCTATTTTACTGTTGTTTTTTGTTTTGTTTTTGTAAATACTTTTATTCTTGGAGCGCAAGTACGCCAGAGATGGGGCGAAGGTGGGAGGAAAAGAAGGGAGGAAAATCACCCCCCCCATAGGTCACGCTGCCATCCTTTCCCTCCAATTCTCCACCCAGTCAAGATCCGGGAAGCCTGAGCGCTGGCGCCTTTTTCAAATTTGAACGGAGTCACCTCGTGGGCTCTGGCGTCCTCTTAGCGGCTGCGCAGCTACGCTGTTGCAGGCCAGCCCATATTTTATTTTCAGTTATTTTTCTCCATAGTATATTGAATAGTGATATAGGCTGTCTACCTTATTGTTCTGTTTTTAAGGCTTGTACTTATTTTTCTGATTTTTTTTTCATGCTTGGTGTATGTGTGCGCAAGGGGATAGGCCAAGGAGCTGGAAAGAAGAGGTGGGAGAGAGGGGTAAGCAGCCTATAAGGAGGGGGCCTGGTCATACATCCTTTCTCTCCAATTCTCCACCCTGTCAGGACGGTGGGCCTGGAGAGCACTAACACCGAACTGGCGCATTTTAAAATTTCGCGAGACCTTATGGTGCAGGGCGCTACCTGCTGGCTCATATATTCCATATTTTTCTCCGTTAATACTAAGTGGTGATATAGGCTATTTTAGTTTACTTTCTGCTTCAAAGTTTGTTCTTTTTCTTGGACTGTTGTATCCCCAAGACCTAGAACAGTACTTTGCATATAGCAAGTGCTTAATAAATCTTAAATGAATGGATAAATTTAATCCCCTCCACCCACTATGTCCTGTAACCAACCCTGATTTAGAGATGAGAAAATCAAAGCTCACAGAGGTTAAGTAACTTGTCCAAGGCTCTGATCATTAATAAATTGTGGAAATGAGGTCTGCCTGATTTCAGAGCCTTCATTTTTAACTACTATTCTACCAGTGACTATTTTTCATTTCTCTTAAACAAAAAACAACCAACCCACACAAGATACAGCATCTCAATTTAGAGGAAATATGTGCTAATAAATTAATCCTCCAGACCCTAGAAGGTAAAGATAAATTCTTCTCACAGTTAATGTTATTCACACCTCAAAACATTTTCAATGGAAAAAGGCAAGCTTGATAACCAGTCGGCTACATCTTTTACTCAGCCATGTTTTTAAAAGTGGGGGGGGGTGTCCAGCAGTTAGCGTAATGGCTATGTCGCTGGACTCCCACGTAGTCGACCGCGGTTCGCGTCCCAGACCCGGTGGCTTAAATCTCACGCCAGGTGCATGTGCGTGCGTGCCCAAGATCCCGAGAGGAGAATGGAGAAGGGATTGCAGCGTGACAGCGTGACCATCCCCCCTGGGGGGTGATTTCTTGCTTTCTGTCTCTATGTCTCTCTCTGGCTGGCGAGCGCACGCGCCCTATAGCAAAAATCTCTCAAAAAAAAAAAAAAGTAGGGGGGAATGTCGAATGTCAAAAAGGTACTAACATATAGCTTTTTTCCTTTTTTCTGTCTCGTTCAACCTCACTTGGTATTTTAAAATGTGCTGTTTAATGTCATACTAAAGAAAGAAAAATTTAAAATTTAAATTATTAGTATGATTTTTACCATTCACCTTTATATTTTACAATGCCAGTTTTACACACTGCCAGATAATTAAACCAAGTATGGGGCCCTTCTGAACACCCCTGAAGCCAAACCAGCCCTGGTTCCAAGGTTTTAGCCCCAGATAAGCCAAGTCAAGGGAGAGGAGGTGTCATACTAAAGAAAGAAAAATTTAAAATTTAAATTATTAGTATGATTTTTACCATTCACCTTTATATTTTACAATGCCAGTTTTACACACTGCCAGATAATTAAACCAAGTATGGGGCCCTTCTGAACACCCCTGAAGCCAAACCAGCCCTGGTTCCAAGGTTTTAGCCCCAGATAAGCCAAGTCAAGGGAGAGGAGGTCAAACCCTGAAATTCCCAATAAAGCAGTGATTTGCCAAAATTTTATCTTCAGGACAAGCGATAAATCCAATGTATAAGAGCAACCACTTTAAAGTAGGCTCTTCCTTTTGCCATTTTAATCCTGCCCACTTTCTATCATTCTGCCTTTTGACAAAGCACAAAGGCACACTCTGAAAGACAACTAGTATTGGACTACAGGATTATAAATTTAATAAAACATCTAACTACTCAGAAAACCAGTTGTTAGGTCAAAATAGCAATAAAACCCTCCCACAAAACTTCTCTTTCACTTTTTGTGTACCATTTTTTAAAACCACACTCTCCTACATTTTTGATACGCCAAGTAAGAATTATTCTATACTGATCTGTTACACATATAAATTCTGGCAAAGAAATTCAATTTTCAAACCACAGATATTTACTATCCTAGTCCTTCCCCAATTAATGAGTGGTAAAGAGTGCAAACTAACATCCTTTACCACTGATAAACTGACTCTGAGCACCTACTAAGTGTTGTGAAGATTAAAAATGAGAATTACACAAGTATTACATTAAGTACCAAAAAGTTGGAATTTGTCTATATATTTCTAGATCTATTTTAAGAATTGCAGAAACATGAATGTATTTATCAGCTCTTCCAAAACAATTTTCAAATTAGCAGAAGTATTCAGGCATCCTGTTCCCTAGACATGAAAAACAGGCATTAAAATTAGGACATATACATCTAAAAAGCATTTTTCCAATTTACAATTTAATCAGATTAACAAAGAAAAAAAATTTGGAAAATAGAAAAGACTAAACAAATGTTAAGGTGTTAAATGAATATTCTGGGTAAGAAAACGGCCTAAGCGGCCTAGAAAGATGAAAAGCAAAGCCCTACAGTAACGTTAAATTTGAATTAAGGAATACTGTTATTTAAATAAGTACTTAGCATTTCATAGAAAGAAGGCCAAGCAACGTGACCATTATATACCTATCGATTCACAACAGTGCTTTGCTATTCCGTAGTTATTTGCTTATACTTATAATAGAGAAATAAAGAGGCAGCAACAGTTAGCTACTACAACATTAAGCACTCTGGCAAAGGTTACTTTAAAAATGGCCTTGCATTTTTACAACACTCTACGGCTATAGATTATTTTCACATATATGACCTCATATAGTCTCTCACTCCCCTGTGATGTGGGTATTACTGACTAGATCTCAGAGATAAGAAACCGAGGCTCGTACGCGATTTTCTCAGAGTCACCCAGTCGATCCCAGACCTTCTGATTCCACGTTTTATGCCTCCCATTTCACATAGTTCTATTTCAAGCATAAACAGAATTTTTAAAGGAAAGGAACGGGTTAGGGAAAAAATAATCATGGTACCTGCAGCTCTGTGCTGCAAAAAATGGCTGAATTATGCTTCTTCCTTTTTTTTCCCTCTCTCTCTGGAAAGAAAAATAGATTTCAATTTAAGTAAACTCAAAGACAAATTAGGTCCTGGCGTCTACGAAATTTTTGACTCAGGTCTGTGCAAGAGGGCCACCGAGTCGGTGCCTAGCTGGGGGCTGCGGGCGAAGCTCGGGCTCCGCAGGCCGGCGGCCAGGGGGGGGTGCGGACCCCGGGGGG